TTGTTCCTTGGTCCCATGGGTGCTGCACTGCTGAGAGGAGGGTTTCCCAAGGTGTGTTTGGTGCTGTGTGCCACCCTTGATTGGCTTCTCTCTCTTGCAAGTTGCAAGTGGAGGTTATGGAGCTCTGGGGGAGGTGGGTGCAAGCTGGACGTGACTTTGATGCTTGGGATTGTCACCTCCTTGGAGGTGGCAGGATGGCACCTCACGCCATGCCTTCTTGCAGGATGGGGACCTTGCTGTGCTGGTGTAAATCCAAAGCAAACTCGCTCCAGGCTGAGGGCTGTTGAGTATCATGCACTGCAAATGTGCTCTTTTCCCTGAATTCTTTCATCAGGGACCGAAGCGAGGATCTGACCTCTGGTGGTCACCACTCCCATGGCAGTTTCCAGGTGAAAGCTGGGGTCGAACCATTGAGTCCTACCATGCCGCAGGGCAGGCACTCATCTCTGCACCCAGGTTCCTCAGGGGAAAGCCTGCTGGGGCTCTGCTGTGCTCTTGAGGCAGGAGAGAAATGAGCAGCGATTTTTCACTGCTGAGTACTGTTAGGGAACCTCGCCACCTGCAGAGTCACCAAAAGAAGCAAGGAGTGCTCGTGCACTCGGTGTGTTGCATTGCATTGTGGATTCACATGAATTTGGCTGCGGGAGCTTTGCACGTGGCCAACCCCAGTGTTATCCCTGGGAGCAGAGCAGGACGAGCGTTCCGACAGCCCCATCCCTGCTGCTGGTCCTGACTCCCCTCTGACTGCAGCCCTTCAGTGTAAGGACTGCGCTCCGGAAGGGAGCGGCTTCCCAAATTTAGAATTTCCTGCAGTGCAATACCCAGAATTGATCTGTGTGCTGATTACGGAGGAAGAGGTGCTGAGAAAAAAAAAAAAAATAAAAAGAAAAAGAAGAAGGAAAAAAAAAGCAAATAACGGAAGCGTGGGGGTGCGGGCGTCGTGCTGGGGATGCTGGGCTGTGCCACCACCTGCAGGACAGCAGGGCTGGGGGCTGGAGGTGGGCTTTGGGGCTTCCCCCCTGCTAGCAGCACAGTGAACTCCTGGATAGACCAGAAAAGGGTTTCCAGCAGAGCTAGGTCACTGTAGTTTTACTGGCAAAGCCTCTTAAGCATCAATGAAGATTATACTGGTGAAAGCTTACGCTGGTACGGTTTATTCTGGTACAAATGAGCTATCCTGGGAAAAATCGCCCCTGCGCTGTTGTAATTGTTTCTGCTCTGGTTTAGAAGTGTTAAAATCACAGCCCGAGGTGTTGCTGTGTCAGCAGCCAATGGGCTGCTGGGGCTCACTGGGCAGAGCAGCGCTGAGAAATGCAGCTCTGGTGGTGAATGCAAGTGCTGAATGCAGAGGGGGAGTGGTGCATGGAGGAAGTGATGCTGGCTTGCTCAGGTGCTTTAGAAAACCTAGGGGCTGAAAGCTGCGTCCTGCTGGCGGCTGCTGGTGCGATTGGGAGCTTTGGGCTTTTGGCCCAGGGAGTGCCAAAGGGATTGGAAATTAGAGGTGCAAAGCTGCAGAGGGATGTTTTGTGCTTGTCTGGTCTGCTCTGAGGACTTAATGTATTTGGATGAGAATGGGGGCGAATGTTTTATAATGATGTTTTCTTATTGAAAACTAATAGTAGTTAATAAACGTTGCTTGGCACAAAGACATCAGGCCAAAACAAGGAAACAAACAAACAGCAACAAGGGAGGTTGATTCAGCAGCTGAGACACTGCCAGGGTCTTGCTGTGCCCAGGAGCTTTTCCCAGCTTTGGCTCTGTTTTCTTGCATGACCCTGGGAAGATGGTGGGGCTCTTGTATGCCTTACTTTCTCCAGCCAGGTACTGTGCACCCAATCTGGGCTCTTCTGTATGTTGCCTTCCCCAGTCATGAAACCACGATAATGGCACCCAATGGATGCATTGCATGAGTGGAGGGCAGTGATGAGCACAGTGGGCCTAAAAGCCCCAGCCTCTGACAGAATGAGGCTCCTTACCATGCGGTTGGATCAGAACCTGCCTGCTCTGCTGTGTGCAATGCTTTATGCTGGGACACACGGAGCAGAGCCCAAAGCACGGCTCTGCGTGGCTGCTGCATTCCCCATGCCACGTGGCCTTGCCCTCTGTGTCCATATCTTTGGGAAAATATCCCTCTGGATCCTGTGGCTTGCAGGTTCATAATTTAGAGAGAGGAAAGAGCTTTGCTGCACATTCTTCAGCTGCTGAGCATCTCTTGGTTCTCTCTCCCTACTGCCATGGGGCATCTTATAGGATATATAGAGGTCGTTGTGTTTAAACAAAGGACACATAGAGAAAATAGCCGCAATTTATGGGTGCGGCAAGAGGGGAAATGCTTTGAGAACTGCTTTTTTTCCTCTTTTTTTCTTTCTTGTATTTAGAAACAGACACAGAGTTTATTTTGGTCAGGAGATAATCACACACGGTGGCTTTAAATGGCAAAAGTACGCAAGAAAAATGAACCGCCTCACGCTGCTTGCACTGAAAGCAGCCTCTGGGAAGTGACCTCCCCAGTTTGCTTAGCCAAAGATGTATCCTTCGTTGTAGGTGTTTATTTGCTTGGAGTTGTTTATTTGAAGGATGTTTCCTCAATCTGGGTGTTAGGATTTCAACATAGAGAGATGAACACTTTGGGCTGTGCTCGTTTGACAGCTCATCCCGGGGCTCCCTGCCTGCTTCCTTGCAGCTGGGTGAGATTTGGGGTGAGCACGCTGTGCCTGTGCCAGAGGCGAACGTTTCCTTCTTGCTTGTTGCTCTGCAGACAAGGAAGAGTGCGGGGAGGAGTGGAAACTTCCCGGTGCCTTGAGCTACGCTGCTTCCGTGTGCATGGCGACGGGCTTTGGGTGCGAACGCACCCCAACGCGTGGCTGTGCCTACACACGCTTCTCCCTGATTTGTGTCTTCAGCACGAAGTAAACAGGATGGGTGCTTGGGAGCTCTGTGCCCTGGGGATGGTTATTTCAGGAGAGGGGCTGGGACGGCGAGTCGAGCCCACATGTGCTTTGCTCTCTGACGTGCTGCAGTCGGCACGGGCTGCTCGCCAGTAACCTGCCTGCGACCTCGCCTCGGCAGCGCCTGAAATTCCCAGGACCATTGGAGGCAGGGCTGCGTGTGCTTCCTTCGCCCTACTGCCAGCACGAGGGCCCTGTTCCACTCTGCTGCTTCAGGGCTGTGAGCCCAGTGCATCCTCGGTTGTGGTTTGAGACATCCCCACATGTTGCCTTGGTCCTCAGTTTTAGGACATCTTCATCCCCATCCATCATTTTGGACCCCAGCTGCTGCGGTTTTTGGGTCTCCTCCAGAGCAGGGCTCCGTGCCCAAATGCACAACCTGCTGCAGGATAAACACCTCCTTTTGCTTTGAGCACCCTGAGAGTGAAGGATAGGAGGGTGACAAGGCATAGCTCTCATCCCATGTCCTCAGAGAACACTGTGGTGCCAAGCCCTACTCCAACCCCTTTAAAGAAGCCAAAAAACAGAGAACTGGGAAGAACGGTCCTGAAGCCTCGAGGAATGTCCCGAGGTTCCTGTTGTGCAGCACTCGTGTCACTCATCCGCAGATGACGCAGTGGCTGGTGGTTATTTTAAGTCAACATCCTGCAGGAGCCAACAGGAGGCCAAGACCCCAGGGAACACATGGGGATGTGTGCCAGGGCTGGGCTTTGCCCATTGGTGGTGGCGTTGGGTTGGGGCATACGGTCAGGGCCTGTGTCCCCTCTGTGTGTCCAAGGTAGGATGCTGGGTGCAGTGGTGTGATGCTGAGTGCACTTTTGCAAGAGGAGCATTGCAGTCTTGCTGGGGATCTACGCTTCCCCGTGGTGGGATTTCCTTGCTCAGTTGGTGCTCTCTGGGGGAGCCGGCTGGGGCTGGGTTTGCTGTGGGTTTGTCAAGCACATTTCCCACTGTGCAATGCTTCTGTTGCTTAAAAACCTTCTGGTCTGCATCTGTTTGGCAAGAGATGTGTTTAGGGGCAGCAGACTTGCTTGTAGTTTTCCTCCCCCACCCCATCCCTGGAGCCATGGAATTGCAGTGATGAGACGGAGCCTTGCTTACCCTTGCACCATTTCTACATGCCCATAGAGGCGAGAAGAAGTGGGACAGGAGAGAGACCTGACTGCATGCGGGTGACAGAAGCCATCATTTCCCAGGACAGCATGAACTTCAGCAGCCTGCAGCTGAAGGCAGTGGCTCTCAGACCCCACCACAAAGCCCCGCACTCCAATCAAGGGGCTTTACTGTCACCTGCCCCTCGCTGCCTGTGTGTTTGCTGCTGTGAGCCCAAGGCAGCTCGGGGGTCCTGGGGGAGTTCCCACAGCCCCCCCCCCACAGCCTTCTGGCTGCTCCCCCCGCAGTCAGCCTGGGGGCCACGAGCCTGCCTCTTCCTTGCCTAGGATTGTTTTGCAAGCAGCGTGACAGGATGAGGAGGAAACGTGCCAGGAATGGCTCCATGTCTCCTCTCGGGAGAATTGCTGGCTATTTTTAAACACCCCTCTCTCACTCCCCTGGGACAGCCGAGCTGCTCAGAGCACGACGGGTGCAGCCCCCCCAGTGCTGCCTGCAGCAATCTGTGTCCTCTGCACGGCTCAGCTTGCACAGCTCCCCAGCCCTGCTCCTCGTATGTGGTCTGTCCCTCTGCACCTTCCCTTTAGCATCCCTTTGAAATCTGAATTGTGGTATCTGTAGGGTGGGCCCTGGTCCTGCATCCCCTGGTCCTGCATCCCTTAGTTCTACACCCTCTGGTCCTGCACCCTTTGGGGAGTGATGCTGCTGGGTACAGGGGGTGAAGGAGGGAGGAGGGCAGTGACAGCTCTGGAGTTGGGAACTCTCTGTGTTGGTGATCTTTGGGTTCTACACCAAAAAGACCCAAAACCAAATGGGATTTCGGAAGCGGTGCTGGTGGAGGAGAATGCATCGGGAGGTTGGGGGTGTTGAAAAGCAGCCTCTAGAGGTCTGGCGGCGATACCAGATGAGATTCAAGCCCTTTTCTCTTCTTCTCTCTTCCAGATTTCTCAAACCAAGTGAATTCCACATCCCTGAACTCCCCGACGAGCCGAGGCCCCATGGCCACCCCATCCCTGCACCCGTCCATCGGGCCGGGCATCGGCTCCTCGTTGGGCTCCCCAGGCCAGCTGCACTCACCCATCAGCACCCTGAGCTCACCCATCAATGGCATGGGGCCACCCTTCTCCGTTATCAGCTCCCCCATGGGCCCACACTCGATGTCTGTTCCCTCCACGCCCAGCTTGGGATTCGGCACCAGCAGCCCACAGGTGAGGGGAGAGCGGCAGGGATGTTGCTGCTGGTTTGATGGGGCAGAGCCGTGGTTTTGGGGTTTGATCCAGTCCCACTTCTGGTTACGTTCTCCCAGGTTTTGAGGATTGAAACCCCACTGCAGATAGCACGGGGAGCAAAACCCCATTTCAGACAGCATGGGGATGTAGGCAGGCGCCACAGGGTGGCAAAAAGCAGAACCCAAAGGGGGAAATGAAGCCCGGGGCTTCCTGCTGCTCCGATGTCATATGGGGGACCGCTGGGGTGTAGAGCAGGACCACAGCCATCCATCAGCTGTCCCCTCCCTGCCCACTGCTCCTCTTTCCCTTTACAGGGGGAGGAACTGGTGTTGGTTGGCTGAAGATTATGTAAAAAAACTCCAACTAGCAAGAGATAAGCTCTTTTTAAAAATAGCAAGATTGGGGAGAGCTGGCCAGCCCCTGCCACCTGTTGCTGGCTGCTTGCACGATATGTGTTTAGTAAAAGGGCAGATTAAGGAATTGGCTACCACCTGCCACTCAGTGCCGGTTTATTTATCCCAAGCCCTCGCTGGGAGTCAAGCACCTGCCAGCACCTTTATTTTTAAATATTGGCCTGATTTATTTCCAGCAATAACGGGGTCTTTTTGCCTCTGGCTGGGGAGGGACATGCCGTGCGGGCACTGTCAGCCATCCTCAATGGAGATGCAATGGGAGAGGCAGCGTAGGGTTTGCCCGTGCCCCTGTAGGTTCAGGGGGAGCTCTCTGTGCAGCCTCCTATCCCGTGGCAAAGGGAAGGGGAAGTGAAATGGTGCTTTGAAATGGGCAGTGCCAGCTCTGAAGTGGTGGGGAAGGAGTGGGAAGCAAGGTGGGGCTGAGCCGCCAGCTGGGAGGGGTGGAACGAGGAAGCTCTGCTGTTAGGCACGATGCGGTGTAGGAACTGGAGGAACCGAAATAAAACCTAACCACAGAGTAAAAAGGGGAATTGAGAGCATGGTCAGATGGTGCCTGGAAGCAAGCCGGCGGCACGGTGTCTCCCAGCCCTGGCGGCACAGTGCCGGCACCACGGACTTGTCTTAAGTGGTTTTCCTTCAGGAGATGGTGAGGAGGTTTCCAGCCTAATGGCTCCTGTCCATCTGTCCCCTGTCTGGGTGCATTAGGGCTCCGGCCCTGCAGCAGGCACCTACCTGGGCTTGCATAGGAGCATAGGAGGAGGAGGAAGAAGAGGAAGGAGTGCAGTCCCCCCATTGTGCACCGGCCGGCAAAGCGCCGGGGGTAATGAGGCGTGCGGCCCCAGCCGCCGGGTGGGGATCACCCTGATGGAAGGTGGTTTGCATCAGATGGCAGATGCCACTTGCCATCAGCCCATGCCTCATTGCCTCTGGAAAGGCAACAGAGCAGAAGGGTGTGGGGCAGCCGTGCCGGGGTGGGACGGAGATGTCAGCTCCCAAAATCCCGGCTGCGTTCCCTCTGCTGTTTCTTCCCATGCAAGCTCTGACCCAGCTCCTCCCGGTCTGAGCTTTGCCAAAAGACATCAGCTCTGACCTCGAGCATCTCCTCCTGCCTGGGATCTCACGCAGCCTCCAGACGCAGTCCGGCTCCCAGGCGACTGCTGGGGACCCTGTGGGGAGGGAGGGGGCACGAGCACTGAGCTGGGCACGAGCTGGCAGAGAGCCTGAGCAGTGTGAGCAAAGTCCCAGCCTGCCCAGAAGTCTGTTTGCTGGGATTTAGTGCGTGTTTAAGCCGTCTTACTTAAAATTGCTGTGAAAACAAAGAAAGCATAATTTTCTGTAAGAGATAGAAGGGATGGACTTGCAATGCTGGAGGCTTCTTCCTCCCTCCTGCTTTGTGCTGCTCGAGGCAGCACTCGAAGCAGCTTGGGGCACCGGGGGAATGGATCAGGAGCAGGATTAGGCTCCTCTAGAGCCTTTACACAATGATTTTTGAATGTGAGTGTGTTACGGATGGAAAAAGAGGAAAACTCTGGTTGCCATTAGACCAAAGGGGATTTGATCCCCCGTGCAATGAACTAAAAAGGGAAAAGAGAGGAGCCGAGGAGTCCCGGCGCGTGGGGCTGCCACGTCATTGGGGAAGCAGAGCAGCAGTTCTGTGTCCCTGCTCCATGCTGTGTATGGTGCATTCCCATGGCACGTGCTCCCAGCTCCGCGCCAGCTATAGGGGAAGGAGTGGGGCTGGCGCCAGAGCGGTGTGGGAACCTCATAGCACACGTGGGGCTGGGGCTGCAGGAGGAACTGGTGACTTCTCCCATCCTGGGGCTGACTCAGCTCCAGCGGGGCTGAGTTGTGGGGGCGGTGGCACCCCCATGTCCTGGTACCCTTCAGAAGGAAGATGCTCACATGCTTCTCACGTGGAGTTTGGGGTTGGGGGCTTGATGATGAAAAGCTTATTTTAGCAGATATCTAAAGTCTTCTGCCCCAGCTCTGATGCAGCACCTGATGATTAGCTCCAAAATGTGTTGTGGGGGTGTTGCCAGTGACCCCAAAGCCGTATGCAGTGTTGCAGCTTAGTGTGGCTCATGCCTTTCACCCTGGTGTTGTGTCATGTCCCCAAGGGATGCTCCTGCTGCACCCCTGCTCACTGGGGTGGATTTGCCTCGCTGTGTGCTGTGGTTATCAGCCCTCTGCCTGCCAAGTATTCCCACCAGCTTGGAGGCTTGAAAGTCAGAGGAGTGGCTGTGGTCTTCTAATGGACAGAACGCGAGCCCCAGGACTTCCCTGGATTAATCTGTGACAAGTGCAATTGCCCACTGTCTCTATTAAGGAAGAGAAAGACAACAAGCTGAGACAAATCCTTCTCTTAGTAGTTGGCAGGAGCTGCAGAAGCCTGGCTGCCCACGCAGGACCCCATTATACCTTCCCTGGGCAGGGCTTTGGTCCTTGTGGGGTCCCTCCTGCATCCCTGTCCCCTCTTGATAGGACTGTGCAGGAGGGCACAGTGACACCAGCACAGAGCATTTTTGCAGAGGGGTTTTTCTGATGGCACTGAGCATAAAATCTTGTTGCAGAGAAAATCCCTGAGGCCCTGAGGGTGCAGATGGCTGCTGTGATGGGGACAGCAGCCTGGAACCTGCAGGCTGGGGCTGCGGCTCTGTCCTCACACCTTTCCTTCACGCCTCAGTGAGTTATTTGGGCTATGCAGCCATGGGCAGGGTAGCAGAGCACAGGTTGCTGTGAGCTTGTTTCCATTGCCAGGACTGAGCTTTCTGACAGTTCCGTGCCTCAGTTTCTCTCTGTGCAGGAGGGGAGCACCATCCTGTCCTGCCAGGAATGTGGAAATCAAGTCAGGAATGTTTCATTGAAATCCCAGAGCTGCTGATGGGGCCACGCCAGCCCCTCTGTTCCGGCTTTCTTTGCTTTATTTCCCAGTTCTCTTGGACTCTGCTGAAGGCTGTGAATGGCAGGGAAGCATCCCACACCTGCAGCTCTGCAAAGCCAGACCTTGTTGCACCTGGCTCACTGATCTTTGGGCTCAGGTGCCCACATCCTCCTCTGGGCTCAGCACTGTGGGTTTTAAGCTGTTTGTTCCCATTTGAGGCTTGTCCCTTCTTTCATACGTTTCCCTGCCTGTACCTGATCCCATGTGCTCCCTGCTTGTGTTCTCACAGCTCAACTCACCCATGAACCCCGTCAGCAGCTCAGAAGACATCAAGCCACCCCTGGGGCTCAATGGAGTCCTCAAAGTGCCAGCACATCCCTCAGGAACAATGGCCTCCTTCACCAAGCACATATGTGCCATTTGCGGGGACAGATCTTCAGGTAAGGCTCCTCCTGCACTGCAAGATGCCAATGGATGCCAAGGCACATAGGAGCTCAGCATCATCCCCCTGGCTTAGGGACAAAAGTGCTCAATGGGAAAGAAAAAGCCTCCCCAGGCTTGCTTTCTCCCAGGTGAGGTGTGCACAGCTCAGCTGTTTGACCTCCCCATCCTTTACACTGCCCTAATGGTAACTAGAGAAGTAAACAATTTGTCAGGCTCCTTGGTAGAGCCAATCCAGTCCTTTATCCCCAGCCCCCAGCAGGGAGGACCAGCCATTAGCTGAGTGTCCCTCTCTCTGCCTCCTTTGATCTATGGCTGGGCTCATCACATAGCACCAGATAAAAAGATGTGCTTCGTGGAGTCTCTCCACTGGTGGGAGATAAAGATGTGCTAATTCCCTTTATTCTCACAAAGCTTTAAAAGCTTTCAGCTCTGTTACTGCCCTGCTGTCTGAGTTTTGTGGTCGTGGGAGATGCCTCCTGCTCATCCTGTTGGGCTGGGGAGGGTCGTAGCGAGGTGCCCCCAGTCTTGCTGCATGGATAACCAGGGGTGGTTGGGGCAGTTTGTAGCCCCACAGAGCATCCTGGTGTTATGGAGATGAATGAAGGCAAAGCCTTCCTTGCTGAAGCTCCGAGGAGCCTCTGGCTCTCCCAAATGCTGCCCTGGGAAGGATCATGGAACGGCTTTGGGTTGGGAGGGTCCCTTCGAGAAGATCTGCAGGTCCACGACGAGGGAAAGCAAAGGATCTGTAGGCACCCAGCACCCTTGCTGAGCCCTTTCACCCGTCTGCAGGTAAACATTATGGGGTGTACAGCTGTGAGGGCTGCAAGGGCTTCTTCAAACGCACGGTGAGGAAGGACCTGACCTACACCTGCCGTGACAACAAGGACTGCTTGATCGACAAGCGCCAGCGCAACCGCTGCCAGTACTGCCGCTACCAGAAGTGTCTCGCCATGGGGATGAAGAGGGAAGGTAAGGCAGTGAGCCCCCCTGGGGTGCTGTGTGTCCTGTGGGCACCTGGCCATGTGGTTGGGGTGACACACGGGGCTGACAGGCACACGTTGTGCCCTGTCTGCCTATAGCTGGGGCCGTGCTGACCCAGGAGCGTTCCCTGGCAGTGCTGGCTGCTTTTTTCTTATTGGGAAGAAAGAAGAAATTCAGTCTTGCAAAAAGATATCCCTTCCCCTTACTGGAATTTAAATGAAGGCTCTAAAACTCCCTGGCAGAGCCTCTTTGAAGTGCTCTTTTTAAATGCTGACTGCATCTCTCTGAAACTGCTGGCAGAATGGGCTTTTAGCAGGCGCGATGGGAAAGTGACCCCGCAGCGCTGCTCAGGTCTCCGCTGCCTTCTCCCCTTACGCCTTCACTGGGTCAGGCAGAGCCCTTTCCCTGCTGGCATCACTCTGGAGAGCCCTTGAGGTGCCCTCCCTGGTCCTGCAGAACTTTGGTGCTTGGAAACTTTGGAGTTTTCTGGTGCAAGCAGGGATGGGTTGTACCATGGAGGTGGCTGTGGCCAGCGCAGCTGTGAGCAGAGACCTCATTTGAGTGTGGTTTAGGGGAGTGGGTTTTCCATCCCCTTGGGTTTTCCATCCCCTTGGTTTGTGAGCGGTGATGGGGAACTGCTCCGTGCCCACCAACAGCAGCAATTGCACGGGCAGCACCAGTGAAGTTACAGCTCTGTTAATTAATCTCTAAACGGTGGTGGAATTCCCCGGGGAGCGCGCGTACAGTGCGAGGGCTCTATTAATTCATCTTGATTAACATTATCGCAGTGAATAGCAAATGAATTCATAACGATCAGCCAATTATTTAAAAGTGTGACAGATGGGAGCTTCATAACTCTCCAGGCGTGCTCAGGCGGTGCTGGCATGGCACGCAGAGGGTTTTGCTGGTGCATAAGGTATGATCCCCAAGCAGGCAGAGCTGGGCTCAGTGCCTCGCTCCCCAGGTCGCAGTAAGGCTGGCAGTGCAGAAATGTCCCATTGCTATAGTGGAGCTGGAGCTCCCTGAGCTTTGGTTTTGAGCGGCTCATTAGTGCTGATCCACCTCATTTGCCAGCAGATGATCTCTGTCCCATTGCACCCATCCCACTGCTGCTGTCCTTCCCTTGTTGGCAGCCCCGAGCCTTGGCCATAGTCGTCCCCACAGCATCTCTTTGGGGAGCAGCTCTGGGCTGCATCCTGCACAATGGTTCCTTTTGCCCCAGTGCTTGCTTACAGGAAAGCTGGCTGTTATCCTCTGGTGTAAACTGTTACCTCTTTTAAGTAACAGAGCTGAGGTAATGGGCCTCATTTCCTCACAAAATACCTCACTCTGGAGACCTAATTTATAGCCCCATAAATGCAGAGCAGACTCCTGCTGAGAAGCATCTCTTTTGTAGCACAAATGTGTTTGTATGTCGTGGAAGGACAGCAAAACCCTCTAAATTAAGTAGTGAAGGAATCACTGTTCAGTGGTTCTCCAGTGACTGCTCTACACCCTGGTATTGGGAAGGGGCAGGACAGAGGGAGCTGTTTGGGTGGAGGCTTTAGCAGCCATGTCTGGGGGATGCAGGCTTAGAGCAGGAAAAGGATTCCTTCTGGAGTCTGCATCTCTGGCTGCTCCCTGTGAAAAAACATTACAGCACATCCTGATGCTGTACGAGCCCTATGGATTCTGGAGGTGTTGAGGCTCTGATAAATAAGCAACCAGGAGCATTTTCCCACTGTAAATTACTGCCAGCTTTGTGAGCTTTCGATTTCTGTGCTGTCTCCCAGTGAAAAGTTCAGATTACCATCAAGATCTTTGACTAATGCAAGGACTGTTGTGATGGGGTGGCATCTGCATCCACAGGTGTAACTCTGGTTGATCTGGCAACCATTAGGGTCTGAGGTGAGTCTTGGTTTGCTAAACAGCTTTAGAGCCTCTAAAGCTGTGTGCCAGCAGCTTCCTGTTTCAAAGGAAAAAGTGGGAAGTGAATTAGATGCAATGCCAGTAGGACAGGTTGGTTGTGGGATGCACTGGGGTCCCTGTGTGGCTGCAGATCACCATATGGAGCCCCAGCCCTGCATTGCCAACAGCAGGATATGCTGTCCAGGAGCCCTTTCCCATGCTCTTTTTGAGCCACCACAAGGACCCAGCGCAGCCCATCCCATCCCTCCATCTCCTTCTACTCTCCAGGCAGCTTTGTTAATTGCAGCTGTCACTAATTGCACATGTGATGGTACCTGATGGGATGGGTGCTGGTCCACCAGGGAACCTTCAGCACACCAGGAGACAGAAATCTGCCCCCTGGCATTGCTCTCTGGGAGTCACACCGTGGCCTGGCTCTGTTCACAGCTTGCTGTGCTGTATGACAGAACCATCCCTGCGCCCCGACATCCTCAGGGTGAACAGGAGCAGGAATATGGGAAGAAAGAGCAGGAATTGGGTCTCCATCTCACTGCTCTGAACAAATGCTGAACCAGGCAAGCGGCCACAGCCCAGTGAAGGGGCAGAGTTCAAGAGCAACAGTTATTTTTAGGAGTAATTTTGGGATGGGAAATGCTTTTCAGCTTAATGAGGTTGTTTCTTCTATCCTTTTAAAGAGCTGCTCTTTAAACCAGCTGGTTAAGTGATGCTGGGTTTGTTTGTTGTTTTGGAGAATGCTCCAAGGTTGAGAGTTAAGGGTTTGGTTTGTGCTTTTCTCTCATTGCTTTGGCAGGGCTGTGGTCAGGTTTTGAGAGTGAAGTGTCCTTGAGGTTTTGGTCTTCCAAAGCCGTTCCCTGCACGGATTGATTTCATGCAAATACTTCAATCCACTTTTTAACACTCCATTTCCATGGCATTACATTCGTAGCGTCACAGCAGAATTCTGCCCATCTTAAGAAATAACCAAATGTGGGATTCAGTAAATGTGGAAAAAAAAACGGCGCCATTGATTTCCTGTATCACAGCCTTTGAGGTTGTTCACAGTAATAAGAAGCTGCAACATAGGGGAAAAAGAAAAAAGGAAGCATGGCTGCATGAGGACAAAGCAGAAGAAACGCTCTCAGAGCTGGTTTCCTATGGCAGCACTTTCGCTATAAATGGGTACCTGAGGCATAAGCACTTCAAGATGCACAGCTAAGATACAGCCAAAAAAAAAATAAAGCAGCAGAGCCCAATAAATTCCACTGCTGGTGAAATGTAAACCCAGTAAACCCTCCCTGAGCACCTGGTAGGTAAACAGCCATGCACTGTAGGCTATGACAAACCCATGCAGGTTTGAGTCCTGGAAGCCACCAGAGTTTCTGGGTCTCTAAAGGGCATCCCAAAGTGTGGTGGAGGGCAGTGGCATCTCCCAGTGCCCTGGTGATGTCCACAGAGCCACCCCAATTGCAGCGGATTGGAAGGGGGCCATTGCCATCGAATCATAGAATGGCCTGGGTTGAAAAGGACCACAGTGATCATCTCGTTTCAACCCCCCTGCTGTGTGCAGGGTCACCAACCAGCAGACCAGGCTGCCCAGAGCCACATCCAGCCTGGCCCTGAATGCCTGCAGGGATGGGGCATCCACAGCCTCCTTGGGCAGCCTGTTCCAGTGCCTCACCACCCTCATGTGTCTCTTCTGTCCATTATTGTCTGTGGCTTTTATTCTGCCTAGGAATGGGTTGAGCAAGCTGCCTGCTCTGCAGAGCCCACCTGTGGCATCTGACCTCAGAGAAGATCCCATTGGGTCAGTGGTCAATAGGTCAAGTTCTGGGGAATTATTCTCTTTCAAGAAGAGTTCAGCCAGTAGTCCACAGTGTTGTTCCTGGAAGGATGGATTTCTATCTTGGAAAGAAGTGTACCCATCTGTATCAACTCAGGGTAAGCCATAATTACAGGGCACTGAGCCCTCCCCAAACCATGGCACTGCTGCTGGGGGCACCTCAGCTGGCTGCTGCCTGGCGGATGGATCCTGCATTTTTGGCACGTGAGCAGCTCAGTGTTGTCTGCAGTCCACGGGATGAAGCATTTTGGTGCTTTCGGAGGGAGAAGCTGCCAAGAAGTGGTTTGAGCACATACACTGCTGTGCTTGTCCTGGGGAAGTGCAGATGGGCTTGGGATTGTGAGATGCAAAGCGACAGCAAGCAGCCATAGGCAAGAAGAAGCCAAATCAAGCGGAATAACACGAGCACATCTTCATCAGGTGCCATGGAAAACACAGGCTTCTGTCTTTGGCACGGCTGAGACATAGCTGGAGGAGGCGAGGCTCTGACTGCAATATCTTTTTTCTCCTCAAGTGGATTGCAAGTTTTAAGCCCTTCCCTTCTGTTAAAATCACACTATGGAAAAAAAAAAAGTCCTCTCAACCATATGAATCTCCTTGAAGAAAAAGAAAAGCATTGGCACAACCATCAGACGGGGCTGGGGCACATGCTCTTCATCGCAGGAGTGTTACTGAGGCATGGCAAGCAGAAATCCTGCTTCACCTCCTGCTCTTAGTGCTGAGCAAGTGCTGTGCTGTGGCCACTCATGTCATTGTGGCTGGGAATGGTCCTGAGACCTCCAGGTCCCTGAGCTGCGTGCCCTGTTCTTGTCCACCTGCACAGCAGGACGTATTAGATGGGAGCAGAAGCAGTCTCCAGAGCTGAACATGGTTGTTTCCTCTTAAATACATGTTGGTTGTGTCACCAGGGACAATTTGGGTCTAGAAAAAGAACGTATGGGAGTGAGAGGAAAGATTCAAGCAGGTTTGATGTTAGCTTCGGAAAGGACAGATAAGAACCAGAACCAGACGAGGTCCAGATGGACAAAAGGCACTGCACAAATCTGAGTGTTAACAGCAGCAGCCTACCTGGCCCTGGGCAGCCAGGCAGAAAACACTGCGAACCTCAGGAGCCTCTGCAGCTCTTACATTTAAAAGCAGTTTGCAGAAATGACCTCTTGCTTTTTGCAGATTTCAGCCAGCAAACAGAATGTCCTGTTGGCATGCAGAGCTGCAGAGCTGGGCAGCAGGAAGGCTCTGCAAACCAGGCTAATAGGAGCAGTATCTGTATAGGATAGCACATGCTTTAATTTCCTGTTGTTAAAGAAGAAGTTTTATATTCTAGCTTGTATTTTTTTTGCACTTGGGATGGAGTTGGTTTAGCAGCCTGAAGGGTTTGATTGTGCTGCACGCAGCTCTGGTTTCACTGCTGCAACACCTGCGCCCCTGCTGCTGCTCCTCTCATCGCACAGCCAGGTTCAGATTCAGCAAAGAGGGAAAGTGTTGGGGTAATTGTTAATAAATAGCAGGCTTTGGCATGGCTGAGTGCCTCATTCAGCCCTGAACAAAGAGCTGGGGAGGTTCAGGCCCTGGTCTCTCCTGGTGGCAGCTCCTGTTGCTCGAGCTGTGTCCTGTGGGAACTGTGGATTTAGGGCATGTAGCGCTGTGATTGAGACAGAGATAGTTACCAGTGTAACTGTCTGCGTGGAGCTGCTTTCCAGGTTTAGCGACAGCTTTGTGCAGGCTTCAAAAGGAGATGATTAATAATAATGCTGTTAGCATCTAACGAGCATTTTTCATCTGTGTACTCTTCAGACATTGACTCATCAGCATGTGACATGCTTCTGGCTAGGTGGCTTCTCCTGCATGGGACCTGGGGCAGGTCTGTCCCGTCTGGTCAGAGCTGAGGGCTGGGTCCTGCTTTGCAAGCAGCACGTGATGGCACAACCCCATTGCTGTTCCAGGGGCCTCTGTGGGAATCCAGCACCAGCAGCTTCGGGAAATGGTCTGACTGTAGGCTTATCTGTGAAAGTGACCCGTTTCTCTTTTCTTTAGGACTCCCCACTGCTGTCCCTTCACCTCCTCGTTTTCTCCCCCTGCAGCTGCGCCCATCCGTTCCTCACACCCACTGAGCACACTGCTGGCAAGCTCAGGTTGGAGAGCAAGGCAGCAGGTGTGTGTGCTCTGCAGCTCGTAGGGATGCTGAAGGTGTCCAAGGCTCTGTGGAGCTCCGGGGTCCCAGCTCACCCCTGGCACCGTAGTCAAGAGCCCTGGGCTGATGCTGTCCTTTTCTTCCCTTCCCCAGCTGTGCAGGAGGAGAGGCAGCGGGGGAAAGACCGCAACGAGAACGAGGTGGAGTCCACAAGTAGCGCCAATGAGGACATGCCTGTGGAGAAGATCCTGGAAGCAGAACTTGCTGTGGAGCCAAAGACAGAGACGTACATTGAGGCAAACATGGGCCTGACGCCGAGCTCGGTGAGGCACCTGTCCCTTGGTCCTTCTGTCCCATCCCTTGGTCCTGCTGTCCCTGCACAGGGACGCAGCAGGGAGCTGGGGCTTGGTGTTGGCATGGCGGTAACGCAGCAGCCGGTCTGTATTTGGGTCAGGGCAAGGTTAGCTTGTGGGAACTGGAGCTCTGCAATGCAGCTGCTAGATGAGCTCAGGTGAAAGCATGAGGAAAGCAAGCCCCTCTGCCCAGTGCAACTGGCAGCACTGGTGCTCTGCTGCCTGGTGGCCATAGAGAACGATGCTCATCCACAGCTGCAGAGAGGAACAGACGCTGCAAGGTGTAATTAAAAGGGCTCACGGAGATTTTGTTTTAGTTAACAGCCATTAGCGCTAAAAGCAGGAAGGCACTCCATGCTCTGAAGAGCTCCTAGTCCAATCAAGGCAGTAAACAGAGCTTTGTGGCTGAAGTGCAAAGAGATAAGAGCTGTAAAATAGGGGCGTGACTTTTTGGGTGCTGAATTACACAGCTGGGAGGCTGTGAGAAGGGGAAAGCTGTAGAAGTTGGCTCTCGAGTCCCTTTCCTATTGGAAGCCTGTGTTACAGTAGGGCTTGCTGGAAGCAGCAGGGCTCTCACAGGGCCTTGTGCAAACAGGAGAGAGCTGGCAGGAAGAGAGTAAAGAGTGAGAAGCTGTCAGAGGGAGACTGTCTTGGTGCTTTTTCTTAGATAATTCCCTTATCAGCATCCTTGCTTTGAGAAAGCCTCACTGCAAAACAGCTGCCTCCAAATGTGAGAGCCAACCTATCCTCTGGAATTTGGTTCCTAGGACAGAGCCCTCAAAAAGAGCCTTATCGCAGAGCAGCACTCACAGCCCTGCAGTTAGGATGCAGAGCTGATTCCTCAGTACCCTCAGTTCCCATGGAAGCAATGTTCCTCTATCTGTAGGGCACCTCTTGGCTGTCCAACCCTCCTTTAACTTCCAGCTGGAGTTCTGGAGCACACATCTGCTTCATCCGGAGCAGCAGGAACATGTGCTGAAACATCCTATTACATCTCCTGCTGCTCTGCACGTGAGGCCTGGGATGCTCTCTTTAGCTTTTACCTACAAGAGTGCTTTGTGGCTTGCTAAGTGAAGTGTAAGGCATCTTGCTTAGCTGATTTCTAAGTGAAACTCTTCTGAAGCTTCTTGAGCATGGCATTGCTGCCCCATAGCCAGGAGCTTGGCTGGGGGGACCAGCACTGCCATGGCCAATGAAGGGCTGGAGGAGCTCTCAGGAGTGGAAATACTTGAGGGGAGTTGGAGGCAGCATTGTGCTGGCTTGAAAACAAACCCCAGAGAGCGAGGTGAAATAAATGGGTTCGTCTGGCACTGCGTCTCCTCAGCCTCTTGTAGCAAATTGGAAGCTGGTTCCTGCATAATTCAACACGCATTACTGTGAACAAGGATGTGTGTTGCATCTAAATAGAAGCAGGAGGCTTGTTGAAATGCCCTATTATTGTCGGGCTTCTGCCGATGAGGTGACATTTGTAGCAGGTTTAGTGACTGTATGAGATCAGCAGCGTGGTGATGGTGAGGGGGGATGGAGGTGTTACCCTCCTCCAGTGCTCCACTGTGAGGCGAAGGTGCACATTCAGTCCTTAATAGATGCATGCAAGCTGTTGCCTTCAGCAGGGCAGGTTGGGTCCTTGTGTTTGTGCCCCACACCTTGGTGCATCTCTGAGCACTGCTGGAGGAGCAGCACCCAGGTGAAATTCTGCTAGGTGCTGTCATGCTTGTGGCTGTCACCTTCCTGCTGCCGTCCCTGGGTGGCTTTGGAAGCAGAGGTACCTTTGCTTTGCAGCCTGGCAGTGGTTTTATCTTCCAGCCACAGGGCTTTGGCACAGCTCTCGGAGCTGATTTAAGGGGGGGCAGTGGGGGGAATGCTTGGCTCTGTCCCAGCACCTTAGTTGGCACCAGGGGAGATGGGTGCAGTCGTGCTATGAAGCCTGTGGTGGGGAGGGGTGGCTTTGGCTCTGCCCCTGCACCCCAGCAGCCTGAGCACTGCCTTGGATGGGCTCCTGACTGCTGAAAGGCAAAGCCTGTAACTGAGAGGTTTTATCCCTATGAGTTCTTAACCGGCCTTTAGCAGCTGGTTTCAAGTCACCATTTTCTGGAAGATGCCTCCAAGCTCTGGTTTTCCAGTAGGATCAGGTGCCCTCCTGTCCTTTCGTTCTGTCACACTCTGGCACTGTGCCCTTGCTATTTACTGCAGGGGGAGATTTGCTTTCCATGCATGGGACGGTTCTGAGGCACTGCATGGCAGAGCCCTTCCTGGAGGGCTCCAGAGCTCTGGAGGCCTTTCCAGAACTCTGGCCCACAGGGGGTGATGCCTTCAGCTGCCTCTCAACATTAAAATTCTGCCAGGAAGCACCGTGGTCGTCCCAGGAACTGCAGTGTGAAGCAGAATTAGCACCAAAAGCCAAGTGCAGATTATGCTGCCTGCAGAGCAGCCGTGGTGCATTCAACCTGTGAGAGCTAGGTGCTGGCATTCCCCAGGGAGTTCATACAGTCACAGAATTTGGGTTGGAAGGGATGACCCTAAAGCACATCCAGCCCCAGCTCATACTGTGAGCTGCTTGCTCCAGACCAGGTTGCCCGTGGCCCCATCCCACCTGGCCTTGAGCATCTCCAGGGATGGGGCATTGCCCAAGCTCTCTTGAGCAGCCAGCAGGGCTGGGGGGCCATCCCCATAATGCTCCCCCCTGACCCGTGGAGCTGAGTGCCAGCCCGTCCCCATCCATCTCTGTGAGCAACAGGTGAGAATACTTTGAAGCCGGGTGCTCCTACTCCTGCCATATGCTGGTTATTTTAAGCCTGGAGATGAGAGATGTTGGCCACTGAGACACAGAATGGTGTTTGCTGTCAGGGGACAGCAGAGCCATCCAGACAGGGGAACATATAGGGGTGGCTCTGGGCAGGATTGTAGGGCTTTTTCCTTTTCTCAAAGCAGCATTTCTCACCTCCCTTTGGTTTGTGAGCACTTGGTCAGCTCTGCAGTCAGCAGAGGGAAGGGTTCTTTCCACAATATTTTATTCTCTGACCTTTTCCCTTTCAATTCCCTGGGGCTGATGCATCCCTTATGGCGTGTCGACCTCCTGCTCCCTCCATGCAGCTGGGTAAGGGGTGTGCATTGCATGCAGAATCCCATAGTGTGCTAGGCAGGTACCTCAAAATCCACAGTGTCGAGGAAATATGAGTGGAAAAGTGAGAAGTCAGCAGTGTGGGTGGCAGAAAGAAGGTGAAAAGGAGAGAAGGAAGGAGCACACGGTGGGACACAGACATGTGCATATGGGGCAGCTCCTGCCTTGGCTGCACAGAACCCATGCCCCAGCCCCATGCAATGCAGAGGTGCAGCAAACGCTCCTTCTCTGAGTTTGAAACTGTTCTTTTAAGGACATAGAAGAGAAATAGTTGTACAATCAAAGCTGCTAGGTATCAGTGGAGATTGCAGGGATATGTGAAGGGGCTCATACATCCCTGTCCAGAGAGGTAAACCATATATACACACTTGTGCTGGCAGGGTCTGTCTTTGCTGGGGTTAGACGGTCTCTTCCCATTCCTAATCACAAGCCCACTTTAGCTGTTAGCAGTTCCTTTAAACAGGGATTTGGTGTGTTTAGGCTGACTGTCCTCCTTGAGAGCAGATGGTTTGTGTTACTGGGTAATATTTCAAAGGAGAGGGTTTTTCTCCTTACTGTGATGCCCTCTCCACGCTGTGGGGTGCAGTGAGGAGGTACTAGCAATGGGAATGTGCACGCTGCAGGGTCCCTGCAGATGATACCCACATAGATTGAACACAGAGCTCCCAAACTCGGGGAGCAAGCAGACAGCAACCCCTTCCCTCTTCCTCCCACGTTCCTCCTTGCTTTCTTCAAACCTTTCCATCTCCTCTTTGCAGCCCAACGACCCGGTGACAAACATTTGCCAGGCGGCCGACAAGCAGCTCTTCACCTTGGTGGAGTGGGCCAAGAGGATCCCCCATTTCTCAGAGCTGCCCCTGGATGACCAGGTCATCCTGCTGCGAGCAGGTGAGCCCCAATGCACTGCGTCCCTCAACCGTCGTGCTGGGATTTGGGTGCTGGGAACTGGAGAGCCTTTAGCTGCTTCTGAGGAATAACTTCAGATCGTTCAATTGCTAAGTGGGATTGAAAAAGCCCCAAGGGATGTGTTGCTGAATGGGATCCAGAATGTTGCACCAGCTGCCAGTGGGCTGAAAAATGGCCTGGCCTTCTGTGTGATGAATGAGATGCTCAGGAAATCAAGGGCACGATGCGCCAGCATCCTCCTGAGCTGGGACTGGAAAGACAAGGGGGTTTGGGTCTGTATGAAATGTCATAGAACTGCAATGTTTGATCATAATTAAAAGCAGACAGGGGAGAAAAATATATATCGCCTTCCCTCTCCCACCCACCAAGATGAAAATGAAGTTCTTTGGGTTTATTTTAAATTTCCTTATGCTGCAGGGGGTGTGGAGGAGCGGGGGCTCTGGGAGGTTACAGGCAGTTAACTGGGATGGAGGTGGTCTTCCAGCAAGTAAACGCAAGCCTCAGCTGCTGGCAGGTCCTGCACAAGGACTGGGGAGGGGCAGGAAATTACAAGCAGACTCAGTGAGGGTGCATTATAGGCACAAAGCTCTTCTCATAGCTCCCGTCATCAGAGAAGTGAGTACAAAGGCTTTGAGTCAATGCAGCAGTTTTGTTCCTTGAAACAGAGGGGCAGGCAAGTTGTTGGTGGGATGTGGGAAATCCCTTCCAGCGAATGACAAACTCAGTGGGAAGGATGAAATTGGGATTGGAAAGGAAAAGACCTCAGTGGTTTTAATGTTTCCATATTTTCCCCCAGATGCACTTGGAGTGAATCCTAATAGTTCCTAAGGGTGGTGAGGCATTGGCACAGGTTGCCCAGAGAGCTGGTGGATGCCCCGTCCCTGCAGACAGCCAGGGTCAGGCTGGAGGGGCTCTGAGCACCCTGTGGAGCTGTGGGTGTCCTTGATCACTGCAGGGATTGGGACCAGATGGCCTTTCAGGGTCCCTTCCAACTCAAACCATTCTGTGATTCTGTAATTGCTGCAACTGTTTGTCAGAAGGCGGCTGAGGAAGGCTGAACTGGAGATGTTCTGACCTGATGCTGTCTCTGTGTTGGTGAGGGGAGGGTGGGGGCTGCAGACCCCATCGTGGGGTTCTGTCATGGGTTCCTGAGCACGAGGAGCTCCCGTTGGTTCTCCGCTCCCAGCATCTCTGCAGGGGCCTCAGATAACCTCCCCCAGGTCCTTTAAGCTGTGGCTTTATCTATTATTGAGCGGCGAGAGAACAGCTGCCCATGAAATATTTAAGTATTAAAACTTAGCTAAGAGCCTCAGGTGCACTCATGCATCCTCTGAGGCAAAACTAAGTGGAGCACGCATGGAGGAGCGGTGCTGGGTGGTGGCTGCAGCTTTCCTCTGCAGTCTTGAATCATTTAAAATCTTCCCTCCTTGGGCTTTTTGGAGGAGGAAACCCAACTATTTTTCAGCTGCTTTGCCTGGCTTTCCTTTGTGCCAAACCTGCTATGGTTGAGACAGCAGTAACATTTTATAGGGCTGAGAGGGGGAGCCTGGTTGGGGTTCCTTTCATAGGGCTGAGCCCACAGTGCCTTTCAATGAGACACCATCTCTCCAGGTCCCCTCCAGCTTCCTGCAGACTCTCCATTCTTGGCTTTCTTGGTGTTGCAATCCCTCTGCAAGTGCCAGACCTCACCCAACCTGTAACCAAATAAACGGTCCCTTGATTGGGGTGGAAACATCCTGTGGCCACTTAAGGAACAGTGAACTTTATTCGCTGGTAACAATTTCTAGTGACATCACTGCAGCTGTAGGTAAACACAGCACGCGTGGACCTTGTATTTATTGCAGGCAATGAGAAAAGGCACTTTTCTGTGGAAGGAGGGGAGGTGGAAGACGTATTTGCATGGCATTTCTAGCCCGGAAAAAGAAAAGAAAAAAAAAATGCAAAATTAAATAAATGGAGAATTCTGGGCCCTGCTGTACAAATCTGTGCTCTGGATATCTGGGCTGGGTAAATCAGGCACATAGCGAATGTGAGGACTGTAGAGGAGCCATCTTACCAAAGATGCCTCTCTGGTAATAAAGGTCAAGCTGATTTCCAAGGCATGGTTGTGGCCACATGGGATGCCCATGGAACAGTGTTGCTCCTCCAGATTCTGAGCTACAGAAGCCGTGCATCTCAGCCATTGTATCCACTGATGCCAGGGCAGTGATGCAGCTGATTCCCTCACTGTGAGGACGTGTGGCTCTGACCCATGACCTTGCTGTTGTTTTCTCTGCAGGGTGGAACGAGCTCCTCATTGCCTCCTTCTCCCACCGCTCCATAGCTGTGAAGGATGGGATCCTGCTGGCCACCGGGCTGCACGTGCACCGCAACAGCGCGCACAGCGCCGGCGTCGGGGCCATCTTTGACAGGTGGGAGAATGGAGAGAGTGGGAAATCCCAGCTCTGTCCCTGTGCTCCGTGTCCCCTGGTAGAGGATCTCCTCTGTGCATCCTATGAGCGCGTCGTGTCGCTGCTCCTCGGTGTGCAGAGCCAGCAGCACAAAATAGCTGCACAGATCACAGCCCATTGCAAAGCGATGCTTCTGCCACGGGGTCCGGATGCCTCCCAGTGTTATGAGGGGCTTCTCTTTATTTTCTGTTTCTAATTGGGCCGAGACGTGGTTTTATTGTCAAAGTGAAAAAGCACCAGAAATACACAGTGGGTTCCACAGGCACATCCCAGCAGCTCTTCAGTTGTTTGGGAAAGTGTTCTAGAGCAACAGCGTGGCTCTGGGCATCGCTCACACTGTGGCTGTTATAAAGAAAGGTTGAGGGAACTGGGCTTGTTCAGCTTAGAGAAGGCTCTGGGGAGACCTCATTGTGATCTTTCAGTACTTGAAGGGAGTGTATAAGCAGGAGGGGGAACGGCTGTTAGGTTAGATATTAGGAAGTTTTTCACAGAGGGTAGTGAGGCACTGGAACAGGCTGCCCAAGGAGGCTGTGGATGCCCCATCCCTGCAGGCATTCAAGGCCAGGTTGGATGTGGCTCTGGGCAGCCTGGTCTGCTGGTTGGTGACCCTGCATATAGCAGGGGGTTGAAACTATGTGATCATTGTGGTCCTTTTCAACCCAGGCCATTCTATGATTCTGTGATACGATTCTGATTTCTCTGCCCCAGCCTCATCCTGAGGCACTGACTTGGAACCAAACCACCGATGCTTCGATGCTTTCTCACTTAGCAAGGAAATTGCTCTTTGGTGCTGGGTGACATCATTTGTTTCCTGTGAGGTCATAAGTGCAAGTGCATGACTTCACTGCAGGCTCCAACAGGAAACACTGGGCAATCACTGGAAAATATTTCAAGACCGGCACCTGCAGAAGGAGCAAAGGGAGTAATAAAAATTACCAGCAGAGGAAATTGCTTTTAGATACCTGCCTTATTTTTTTATTACTTTTTTTTTATTATTATTATTATTTTTAGATGGCTTTCTCAGGTGCCAAATTCACACTGAGTGCACAAAGCCAGTCCTGCTGATCTCTGTTCTGTCTCACAGGAACCGCTGATGTTCCTGACAAGCAATTTTTGATACAGGAGGAAAATGAGGGTACAAACGAGCCCTATCCCATGACTTTATTAAACACGTGCCTCTCTCTAGGTCTGATCTTGCTTTTTTTCCTGTTTCTTGTTAATGCTGACACCTGTGCTTCTTGTGTCCTTTGCAGAGTACTGACAGAACTCGTGTCAAAGATGCGAGACATGCAGATGGACAAGACAGAGCTGGGCTGCCTGCGAGCCATCGTCCTCTTCAACCCCGGTACCCGCAGCCACCTCCTCTTGTGGCTGATGCTCTTTGTGATCCTTTCATTACCCATAGAGCTCTCTTGCAATTCACTGTGTGCACTGCTGAGAATGGGGCCAGCTTTCAGACATGTCCCATGCCTGGGTCCGGATCCATACATTTCCCCCAGTGCCTCTCCTTTCCAAGAGGCATTTTCCCCTCTCTCTCTGGAGGGGTTTGGTTTGATCCATGTACGCCTTCTCCCCATTCCCAGCATCCCAGCTGTACAGAGTTCTGGTGCTTTAGGGAGTGTTGCTAAACAAGAGCTACAGTGGATCTGGGTCTTTTAGAGAGACAAAGGTATGGATCAGGGCAAAGTCAAAACATGTTGTTATTATTATTGTCCCTGTTCCCTGATCCCACGCCAGGCTTTTCAGCAGGGTTCAGTGCTGTCTCTTGGTTTCGTTTTTCAGCTTCACTTTTTTTTTTTTTCCCCCTTCTTATAATCACCAGCAATTTGTTGCCTGCAATTTGGGATTAGCCGTATTTGGTAAAAGAAGGCAGATCTGGAGAGGTTCCCATCCTGCATGTGCTTGGGTACAGTGACTTTGTCCCTGCCAGGCTTTGTCACATCAGGGTGACCCTGAGCAGGGGCTTTTCTTACAGCCCTGCTGCAGGGCTCGGTGTTGGAGGGAGAAATCCCCCAAGCTGATGCCTGGAAGGCTTCAAACCTTTTGCTTTCAGGGTCTGTGACCACTGGAATGAGCCAAATGGTTTGGGGTTGGGATATGGAGTGTGGTGAAACACACATAGGGGGAAACCTTGTGCCCATCTCAGGGGTGGCAGCTGATGCTCCTTCTCTCACCCTTCAGACTCAAAAGGTCTCTCCAACCCGGCTGAAGTGGAGGCGTTACGGGAGAAGGTGTACGCATCGCTGGAGGCGTACTGCAAGCACAAATACCCCGACCAGCCTGGGAGGTGAGTCACTGCTGCACTGCCCCACCACACTGCACCCTGAGAAGTGGAGGAAAGTCCTTGTCCCCCCTGCTAGGCATCTCCCCACAGCCCAGCAGGAGCGGTCCTGAGGAGCCCTGGCTCTGCTGTAACGCCCACAGAGGTAAGGGGTATCGTTTCCCTTTTGGAAACCACGGAGAGCAAACCACAGCTGAAACAAGACACACACGGAGTTAATTTTCAGTGGCAGATGAGCATCATTGCTGGGAAGTGAAAGCCTCAATTGATGCTCCTCTCTCCTCCTCTCCTCCCCCAATCCAGCTGGGAATGGGAGGGGGAATTAGGAATGCTTTCCTGGACCGCTCTGGAGCTGAGTGGGCGCATTTTCCCAGTTACAGCCTTGAAGCTGGCAACTGCCAGTTAAGAGACTGACAGTCGTTTGAGAAACCAAGCAGAGCACTGAAAGTGCTGCTGGGGAAAGTGTGCTGGGAAGCACAGCCTGAGCTGTTGGGCTTTGTGTCTCACCTTCATTCCTGGTCTGGGTGGATTGGAAAAAGGATGCTCTTACAGCAGTGGATGCAGTAGGCAGTGTATTGGACCTGGTTATGGGATATCATTGTGCTGGCAGATGAAAAAAGACATTCTGTGAAGAGGTTTTGTGGTGTTTGTGGTTGGGTTGCGGGGTTATAAAGGCCCTCCCCCAGTGGGAAGCACTCTGAGCTTTGCATAAGCATTCACAGTCTGCAGTGGGGGTCGTGCTGGCACCAGTGTGGACTCTGGAGCTTGGTTTGCTGGCTTTGAACGGATATGGGGGCCTGCTTGTGCTGTCTGCACACACTGCTTTGCAAAAACCTCTAGGGGTAAACCTGTAGGGCTGCCCACAAGGGCCAGCATTGAGCCCTGCTCCAACACAGGACCCACTGCAATAAGCCCCAGGGGGCTCAGCAGGGTTAACTCTTGGGCTGCGAGTCTGGGGTTACACAGCCCCTAAGGGAACGCTCTCGGAGTGCTCCTGGCACAGCGTGATCCCCAGCTGGGGCTGGAATCAAGTGGTGGAGCATTGCGTGCTCCCTGCTGCTCTGCAAGGAGGACATGGGCTGTGCGTGCTGGAGGGAGCAGGCAGGGCTGTCCTTCCCACCCCCTCCCCCCCCCCGCCCCCCAGCATGCTGTGCTGAAGGCTGGTGTGCTCACAGTTAAACATCTCCAAGGGCTGCAGCCATCATCTGGTTTGGTTTAAAGTGAAACTTCCTGAATGGGATGGTAGAGCTGATTTGTTTTTCCTGGCTCTGCTCCCGCTGTTCTTGCCAGCTCAGCAAAAGGAAAAAGAAAAAAAAACAGAAGAGAGAAGTGTGCATGCGTGTATAACATCAGTGTGTTTGTGCGTGGTTCTGTGTGTTTCCTGCTCCCCTTCTCTCTGGGCTGGCTCTGTTCATATTGAAACCCTGACTGTGCTGCGTTAAAGCCAAGTTCAAGGGCTTTTCTCCCCTCTGGTGGGCAGTGTGGGGGCTCCCAGGGTGGTCCTGCTGACCCCCACAGGACCCCTTTTAATTCCTCAGCTGCTTTCCCTTTTGCCTGAGCAAGCTGAGAGCTGCTGCACTCTCTTTGCCGCAGGGACCCCGTAAACAAGTCAGGCTGCTCCCTGCATTTAAAGCATGGCACGGATACAGCGCACCCAGCCCAGGGATGGCCCTTCGTGCCTTATTTTCCTCTTTCAGCTTAGCAGATGTTTGCTGTAAATATCCGCTACCAGATCTTCAAAGCTAGGGCTGTAATTAATGATTTCTCATTGTGATTTCTTTGCTTTGGGAGCAGCAGAGCCTGTGAGCTCCCAGCCTGCGCGCGGTGCAGCTGAGGCCCTCTAACTCTGTACCATATTTCCTACCCCCAGGTTCGCCAAGCTCCTGCTCCGCCTGCCAGCCCTACGGTCCATCGGCCTCAAATGCCTGGAGCACCTCTTCTTCTTCAAGCTAATAGGCGACACGCCGATCGACACCTTCTTGATGGAAATGCTGGAAGCACCCCATCAAATGACTTAGAGAACTGCCGCTGGGTCAGTCCCTCACCCAGCCAGGGCCATGCGGGCTCCGTCCTCTGCTTCCTCCTCCTCCTCCACCCCAGCCCCTTCCCTCTGCTCCCCAAATGCTGGAGGCACCGTCCGAGCTTCTCCGCGTGGTCCCCGGGCCGAACCCGCACCTCCCTGCCGCCTCATCACGTTGACCTTTTTGTCCGTTTGCTGTCACTGCTGCATCTAAAGACCTCTGATGGCTGTTTTTTCCCTGCGGTAGATGTAGAGGAGTGGGGACGGATGGCTTCGCATCAGTGCTGGGTGGCACGTGGCATGGGAGCAGGGACGGTCCCGTGCCATCCCGGCCCCGCCGTGGGGTTTGGACGAGTCAAGGGAGCGGTTCGGCTCACCGGATTTGCAGCTGGCTATTATCAGAGGATGGAGTTGTTTTTTTTTTTTGGTGGTGTTTTTAGGTTTTTTTTTGTTGTTTTTTTTTGTTTTTTTGGTTTTTTTTGAACAAGAGAAAAGGAAAAAAAAAAAAAGAAAATTATTCTATTTTTGGTTTCCAACTATTCTTAGTAGTCTCAGCAGTTCCTTTGCGAAAGGGAGAGGCTGTGGGGAGGGGTGGCTCTCACTGGGCTCTATTAGTGAGTCACCGTGGCTGCACGGAGCCTCTTTGCTCAAAGCAAGGGGTTTGGGACTGAGCTCAATCCCTCTCTGAACAACGTGGGGCTGCCCTGTCCCCCTCTGCTGTCCCCAGTGATGCTGCTCCTCTGGGACACGTAGCTCTGGAGTGCTTGCTTTAAGGCTGCCAGGGATGTGGTTCCACTTTTCTGCAGCTCACGGAGGTCCTGCTGGGCCTCCTGCCCTTCTTGCTGTGCCCAACGTCCTGGCACAGCCCTACAGGAGCTGCCTTATTGCAGGAGCTGTCATGCTGGAGCAGCAGGATCTGGTGGCTCAGCAGTGCTCCTGTTGGATTCTGTAGTCCTGAGTTCATGCAGGGGCATTTCCAGCCAGAAGGTGGGCTCAGCAAAATGCCCCACGTGCAGACTGTAGGGAGCAGCAGCCCTGCAACCACCAGCAGCCCATGCATGGTGTTTCAGTAGCTGTGGTGCAAGGCAGCAGTTAGTGGGAGCTCTCAGCCGTGCTGCTCCCTGGGGCATTCATTGGCAATGATGCAGGAATGGAGCTCACCATTCCTGAATATCCCTCATTGGAATGGTGGAGGACCTGTGCCATTCACCTCACCCTCTTGCATTAAGCAGGGGAGAAAATGAGAGAGAAGATCAGAGTGAAGTCTCTCATTGGGGGTTTCTCCCTCCATAACAGGACTGAGCGTCCCAAACACACCATGGGTTGGGGGGAACCAAGGCTGAGTGCTGCGGTTGGCCCTGGACTGAGGGCTTCCCCACGGCTTTTATGTCTGCTGTAAGACAGCCAAGTGGTCCCAAAAAGAATGCAATCTCCTGCAGAGCATCCCACCAGCTGCTCTGTGCCTGGGGAACACAGTTATCACCTGCCTGTTCTCACCCCACTGGCAGCTCAAGTTCCAGCTCCATCCCCATCAGGCCATCTCCTTGCTGGCAAATCCACAGAGGTGGGGAAAATCTTTTGGCCATCTTTCTCCAGCAGCCTGCATGCCGCTGAAAATATTATTAAACAGCTTCACCCTGGAAGAATTTGCCAAGAAAAGAAGGCGAGAGAAATGAAATGTAGTGAGAGTGCCAATAAACGGGGCTGCTCAGTGCCTGCCCAGTGTGAGGCTGGGGGCTGGCAGCAGTGAGGTCAGAGTGTGCTGGGGGTCGGTCAGCTGTGCACTATAATAAACCTGGACCCTTGTTTATCTCCCTTGGGTAGAACCACTTCTTTTTTTGCTTTTGTTTTTTTTAATGATTGACTGCTTGGAAGGGGCTGTTTTGGTTTGCACTGTTGGACGGCTGAGCATGTGCCCCCATCCCATCCCTTCCTGTCCATCGTATCCTTCCCATTCATCATATCCATCCCATCTCTTCAATCCCACCTAACTGTATCCCATCCATCCAGTCAAATCCCTTCACTGTCACCCCATCCCTTCCATCTTATCCCATCCATTCCATCCCATTTCATCCATCTCATTCATCCCATTCTGTCCTTCCTGTCCTACCCCACCCTGTCCCATCCATCTCATTCATCCCACCCCGTCTTTCATACCCCACTCTTCCCATCTATCCCATTCATCCCATCCCACCCTGGTTCCTGTCTGACCCCTACAAACACAAATGCTGTGAGCAGCGGGTTGCCTTCAGCATGCAGCAGGGTGCAAAGCCCTCATGCTGGGGTTCCCAGTCAGGACACATCTCTGTGCCTCAGTTTCCCTGGAGCAGCACAGTTCTAGGATTCCTGCCCCTTACAGAGGAAGCTTTGGGGAAAGGCTGAGCATTGTCCTGGTGTCAAGAGAGCTCCCACCTTGCTGTAAATCAGCATAGCTCACTGTTTCACAGCAGCAGCCTTTTGGGGCTCAGCCCCCGGAGATGAGCCCTGCTCCCCCATGCAGGGCCACCAAGGCAGCCGTCCCCAGCAGAAGGATGAGCTCCCGTGCCTCGCTGTCACCTGCCACAGCAGCCTTAAAGCAACCTGCTCTTGCATGAGTTTGGCTCTTTCATCTGTATTCTTTTTCACTTCTTGGCTTTTAGTTTTTTTTTCCCCCCTCGTCGTAGTTATCCTGACTGTATTACGTGCTTTTTTGAGGAGGTGATACATGGGTAAAAGAAAGGAAGAAAAAAAAAGGCACATTATCCACTGGCGAGGTAGGACGTTCATTTAAGCAGATCTTAGTACTCTCGCCAACATCTGGTTTCCATTAGGGTGATCATTTTTTATTTTTTATTTTTTATTTTTAAATATATATGTATTTTTTAAATTTTCTTCTTGCTGTTGGTGGGACAATCTTTAATTTTCTAAAGATAGCACAAACATCAGCTTTTCAGCCCCCACCATCCGGGCTCAGAGGCGATGCTGTCCCCATCAGAGACCGCCTGGGCTCACGGATACGTGCTGTGTATACATGTATGTACTGTAGATATATACACTGTACAAATAGCCTCACTCACATATACATATATTATACCTGTAGCAATGACAGACTTTATTTTTTGGTGTTGTTTTCAGTTGATTCTTCCCCTCCCTCCCCCCGCGTGTTGTTTTTGCTTCCGTTGTATGCGAACCCCTTTCCCAATTGGCACAAGCCGAACCTGGGTCCTTATAACTCGCCGCAAAGGAGATGCATCTATTTTAAGATGCCTTTTTTTGTTTCTGTTTTGTTCTGTTGGTTCTTTTTCGGTGTTTTTTTGCCGTTGTTTTCCCTTCGGAGCAGCAGGTGGCGGTGAGGAAGAATAGCTTTAGCCGCTCCCCGATGCTTAGCGATGGATGCCTGGGCTGTGGGGGTCGCGTAGCTGAAAGAAAACAAAAAGGAAACACGTTAAAAATTTCGAATAACAAAAACGAAAACGAAAGAAAAGAAAAAAAAAAAAAAAAAAAATAAAGCCTCAAAAAAAATTAAAAAAAAAAAAAAAAAAAATTAAAAAAAAAAATCTATTTTTGTACAAATGTAATTTTATCCCTGACGTATCCTTGGATATATTTTGGTTGGTTTTTTTTTTGTTTGTTTCTTTTACAGAGGTTGTTATAAAGGCTGTCTCTATTTTTCTCTCCTTCTCCCTCTCTCTTTCTGTATTTGTCCGGCCGCAGGGGCAGCGCTCGTAGGGGAGGGAGGAACTTCTGCCCGTGTTTTAAAGGCTTTATATCAGATCTCCTTCTTTTTTGAAATCATTTGTTTGGAACGAACTTTTTATTTCTGTTTTTTTTTTTGCCCCTCTCTCCTCCCCCTACTCCCAAAAATGTTTTTTTTTGGGGGGGGGGGGGGGGGTTGAGGGTGTGTATGGAGGAGGAGGGGGGAGAGGTGGGCTGGTCTGGGGGTGTCTTTTGTCACACGTATAGCTGGCGTTCCCGCAGGTCTGTTTTACTGTGAAATCACTACCGTATGTTATTATTCACTTTAAAAAAAAAAAAAGGAAAAAAAAAAAAAAAGAAAGAAAAAAGAATTGCTGCTGGAAACGCCAGTATTTTGATGAACAATTGTATTAGAATTTGGGAGGAAAAAAAAAAAAAAAAAAAAGAAAAAAAAAAAAAAAGAGAAAAAAAAAAAAGGAGAAAAAAAATATATGAGCATTTTAAAATATAACCCAGTGCAAGTCCTCGTTTGTTCTGCAGGGGGATTTCCTCACGCTGGGGGGGGTTCTGTCCCTCCCAGGTTGTCCCCTGTGGGGTTCTGCCGCTATCAGGGGGGTGACCATCCTGCAGCACACCTCAGCCCTGCAGAAAGAATTCCACATTCCTTTGCTGGTGACATGGGACAGCTCAGAGTCATGCAGGACATGGGTGCTGGGGGAGCCCCAGGCCCCATGGCATGTCCTGGGATCATGGCACATCCTAGGGTATGTCCTAGGGTCCCGGGGACGTGGCACATCCTGGGATCATGGCACATGCCAGACACATGGCACATCCCAAGGACATTGGCACCTCTTGGGGACGTGGCATGTCCTGGGGTCATGGCACATCCCAGGCAGCAGCAGCAAGCACCCAGCCATGGGGACGGGTGCAGTGAAAATGCCTTTCCCATGCATTGGGGCACAGCACTGTTCTCAGCCTCCCTCCACTCCTAGTGCCATGCTACCAGGGTGCCTTGAGTGTCACCTGCCCTCGTTGCCAGGTGTAAATGAGACTGAACTCACTCTTGGGTTTACAGCAGAGACAATTCCCCGCTGCTGGGCGCTGACACAGAGATGTCAAATGGGTGTTTCAATGCAGTTAGTGCTGATCTGCATGCTGCCAGCTCTGCCACAACGTTGTTTCGTTTGGGAAGCACAGGGACATGAGGGATGATGGTGCTGGGAGGTGACAGCTGCTGCATGCTGTGGGACACTGCCTGATGCCTCCTGACCCATGTGGGCAGCACCCGCAGGCGCTGGGCGCTGCGCTCACACACGGGCTGGATGCTGTTCCAGTGGCTATTTGTCTTGTTAACCTCCAGGCAGCAGTTTGTGTTTGGAGAGTAAATACTGACCTCCTCCCTCCCTGAGGTTTATTTTTTTTCCCTCTTTGCCCCTTCTTCCCGAGGTGGATGAGCTGGGATGCGTGGCCAAGGCACCCCACCGTGCTCGTCCTCGTGCCACCACCCATTGGCAACAAAACCATGAGGGGCTTGGAAACGGGGCTTGCTTCTCCATTTAAAGCAGCTAATGTGAAAAGGAAAGGGAAAGCCAAGCTGCCCAATGTTTCCTTCTTTGCCCTGTTCACTGTCCCCTCTGTGGTGGCACAGAGGAGGAGGAGGATGGCCCTTTGGTGAACTCATGCCTGGTTCTTCTGCTTCAACCGGAGTTGAGGTGTGTGTTCTGCTCCCCCCCTCCTGATTCCGTGATGACAGAAGGTGGCTATAAGGAGATGGAATGCTTTGCACGTGCAGTAGTTGGGGTTTCGCTTTGCAGCCGGGCTGGGTGTGTGCAGGATTGGTCCTTGCCCTGGGAACAACATGGAGACATGGGGCTCAGGGATGGCACAGAGGGATGCAGAGCTCTCTAATCTCCTAATGGCAGATCTGCTTACAGCCCGAGCTCTTGGACAGGTGGCACCGGGTGGGGATTTCAGCTTCCTCTGCTCCTCCAGATACTTTTTGGGCACGGCGTGGAGGATACTGTGCCGGCGGGTGTAGAGCTTTCTCTTGGAGATGCACCTCATTTAGTGGCACTGGGCTGGCTGCTTAATTCCTGTGCATCCCAGAGCTGACAGAGATGGAGTGAGGTGTCGGCAGACGGTTTTGAAATCCTTAAGAGAAGGGCTGTGATCCCAGCGCTCTCCATGCCTTTGCTTTGCAGCAAGGAGGGGCTCTACAAATAAATACAGACAGATGAGCTCTTTCACTGGTCATTTGTCACTTCATAATTGCCAAAGAAAAGCAGGTTAGTTTTCTCCTCCTGACCTCTCTAAAGAAGCCTTTTCACCCCAGCTGGGCCCACGGCTGGGTCAGGTCCCCACGGGGCAGGGCAGCCTTTGCCTCGTGCTGGGGCTGCAGGGGACACCTCAGCCTTTGGCATTTCCTGGGGCTTTGCATGGCATTTTGTGGTGCCTTGGCCACACGTGGGTGCAAAGGGGCTGGGTGAGGGCAGAGAGCCTGGAGTGCTGGGAGGTCAGCAGCACATGGATGGCTCGGGGGATGTGGGGTCTGGGGTCTATTGGTGTACAACTAAGTGTGGTGAGTATCGGGTACAAACTAAGCTGAGCTGTGCCAAGCTGGGATGCGCCAGGCTGTGCTGAGCCATGCCAGGCTGTGCTGAGGCATGATGAGCCAAGCTGAGCTGTGCCATGCCATGCTGAGCCGTGCCTTGTTAAAGCTGTGCCATGCCGTGCCGTGCCGAACTGTGCCGAGCCGAGCCCAAGAGCAAAGTGCTGCCGCCCCCTCCCGGCCCCGCTGCCCGCCGTTCCCTCCACCTCCCTCTCATCCATCAAGATTTTAACTCGTTTTTCCATCCAAATGCCTTCTTATTCCTTCGCGGTCCGATGAAGAGTTAACACAGCGCTTGCAGGCAAAGCATTGCCTAAAACGAGCATCCTTCACTCCCAAAGAACTCGAGATCCCAAGGCACAGGCGAGAAATACTAGCCACAAAAATTTAGCATCCCTCCCCCCCCCCTTTACAGCACTGGCAGCGAAACCTAGTTTGGCTTTATAGGCAAGATTTTCCATACCGTGCTCCAACGCGACTCAATTCCACTAAGCCCACATCTTGTTTTTCTACTGACAAAGTGAGGTATGATTCTTGGCTCGCTGATTTTCTGCTGTGGAGGCCTAAATGAAAAGATGCTTTTAAAGCTCATTCACTCAACACTCAGCCCAAAACCCGGGGGGAGGGTCAGATGGAAATTCACTGCTGCTATCGGATGGGCTTTCTGCTTTTACGGTGGGGGTGAGGCTGAAGAAAATTAAATGAAGGCAGAAGGGTTTGCTAGGATACCGGTAAAGGTAGAACAGAGTGCTGAGTAAAACAGCCAAATTGTTTAATTTGTTTTCTTCTAAAAAGCTCCTGTTTGAGTCACTGTGGTTCCTGAGGACACGGCTCTCGGCGCTCATTTTGTCTGGATCTTTCAATTTCTGGCATAAACTCATCATATTCCTCAGGAAGGGCAGAGCATCCTTCTCTCTGTGCAAGGAGTGTGCAGCAGGGCCAGGGCAGCAGGATGGGACAGCATGTGGGAGACAAGTGGCCCAGTTCAGCTCCGGGCAGCCAGGAGCAGAGCAGGAGCTCCGCTGGTTCTGCTTTCAGCTTGGGGATTTTGCACTCTGCAGCCCCTTCCTGGGGCTTCTTGACCACTTTTCACCGCTCCAGCAGTTGCTTTGCACTGGGTTGGGGTGAGCAAGGGGCAGAGAGGGATGTCCCCAAGGACAGTGTGACATCAGGAGGGCTCTGCTGGGATGCAGGGCAGGTTGTCCCCAGTGTCCCCGAGCTCTGAGCAGCACCACGCTGCAGGGTCTGCTCTGCTGTGTCCACAGCCCCCAACATCTGCTCCCTTCCCACAGCAGGACGTGGGTTCCTGGGCGATGCAAAGACATTACCTAATGCTTTGAAACCGGATCCTCCCGTCAGACTCCACTTGGATGGGAAAAGCTTGCTCCGGCCTGTCTGTTCCTGCTCCAAATAATGTTTCCCTCCTTATGGCAAAGAACACGCTGTGCACAATTTCCTGCTATCTGGAGGGTGGAGGTGGGTCCCAGAAGACCCCCTGGATTAACCCCTGCCTGGGATGTCCTGCTCTTCACACGTTGATAGATGTTATTTCCTTGAAGGGAACCACCTTACTAAGCTGAACAACCCCACATCCTCAGCCCTGCCCCGTGGAAGAGGCTCATTGAAGGGGAATTCAGGCAGCTCCTAAGTGCTCCCCATGGGTTCCAGCCTCCAGTACGGCTCAGCCTAGCCCTGAAGCTGCACAGCACAGTGTCCCCAAGCACCAACCAGGCTGTTCTGCTGATGGTGGAGGGAATGGGGTGGCATGAGCATCGTTCCCAACCTTCAGAGCCATTTGCATCATCAATTCTGCTGTAGATAAACCGATGTCTGACACAGGTTGCTCTCACCCGAGAGCTCTGTCCCTGCAGGGACTGTGATAGGAGGGGGTGTCCAGGGCTGGGTGGGATTTGGGGCTGTCCCCTGGATGTCTCCATTGGGCACACACAACCTGTTGCAACCCTGTTGGTGGGTGATGCTGTCTCCAAACACCTCTGCCTGTGGAAGGCTGGCAGGAGAGACAGTTTGTGGCTGGTTATTTGCTGTTGTCACTCCAACCATTTTACCTTAAGAGGCAATAAAGATGAAAGCCAATAATAAGCAGCCAGCCATCATTTTGGGGGGAGAAAGGCTATAATTTACCCCGTCAGGGCTGCAGGGAGTCCATTTGAGGCCGGTGTTATTGACAAGAGGTCTATATGGTTTGTTTCTCACAGTACTTACGTGCGCTCCGAGCAGTTGAGGGTGACATTTTTGAAATCTAAAAACACACAACCAGGAGCAAAGTCCCAGCAGCACGGAAGGGAGAAGGATTTCTGCCCTGAATGTGCTGAACTTTATGAAAAGTACATTTGCAGAGGAGGCTGTCAGGGGTTGGCGGGAGGGGAGCTGCCCTTGGCTGGATGGGGGCATTGATGGGGCTGTTGGGACCTCGTTGCTGCCCAGGCTGCCACGTCCCCTTGGTCTGGTCTAGCGGACAGAATGGCCACGTACTCACTGTAAAAACAGCAGAAATGAGGTTTTAACTTCAAAACGATCTGGATTCTCATTTTCTTCTGCTTAAAATAAGCAGTAGCCTTGCTCATGGCAACAACTTCACCCCGGAGCACCAGGGCTTGACCCTGTGAGTTCGGGTAGCCCAACGATCGAGACCCATCGTAGTCTTTCTCACACGGATCGTCAAACCCTTCCTTCTCCTCTTGTGGGGGAGGGAGGAGGTGGTTTCAGGAAGCACAGCGGGTGACTAATCTGCCTCCTGCCTTTGCCAAGGAGAGCAACCAGCCGCAGCACCTCCCCGCTGCCTGCCGTGTCAGCAGGGCTGAGATTTACGGCCATCAATCCATCAGCCTTATTTATAGCAGCAGCTCTCTGTGAGATTTCACACACGAAGCCTGGCTTGCACCACAGCCTCACTCCTGCCAAAATCCTCTCTGGGCCCCATCACCCTCCCAAGGGCTTTGCTGCGCCATGCCCATGCCCATGCAGGGAGGTGCTGCTGCATGCTCCTTCCTACCCCGTTTCTCCCCCTTTGGGGACTGTGAGCACACAATTCCCACATCACCTCCTTTTCCCTTCTCGTTGCCTCTATCTTTAGGGAGTTTTCTTGCAGCCAGAGCTTTCCACGCTGAGATGGGAAGGGAATTGCTTCTGTCCTGCAGCAGCGGAGCAGACATCTGCCCGCAAGAACCAGTGTGATCTGCATGTTTCCTTATTCAAAACGAGATCTTTATCTCCGTGGCATGTCCACCATGACTATTCAACACACTGGTCTGCTCGCCAGCTGTTGTTGTGCAGCCCTTCCCTGTCCTGCTGTTCCTGGGTGTCTCTGTACCTCGGGTCCATGTGGGACAGAGCCGGTTTCCAACACCATGGGATCTCCATTTGGGAAACTCTGCAAAGCAATGGGGACTTCTCAGCTGCTTTGTGGTGAAACATTTGAAGACCACGGCCTTCAGAAAACACATGGCAAATAAAAGGAATGAGAGCACAGGAGGAATCCTGTACACCCCTTGATTCCATGACAGCAGAGGGACCGGGCGCCTCGGGTCACCTGGGGATCCTAATTACGTTTCTCTCTGATTAGCTGGGAATGGGAAACCCTTTTTCCTGCGGTCAGGGCAAGAGAAAGTGTTGCAGCCTCTGTTTAAACCTGAGCTGCTCGCGGCGCTTCGCTGTGTGTGTGATGGATGGGGCCTGGGGCCGGGCTGCCTGTAACAGCCAAATCACTTACCTTGAAAATGCAAACCTTATGGAAAGCGAATCAATAACTCCTGCAGCCTCCGCTCTGCTGACACGCGGCCCGAGCCCGCAGGAAATAAACCCTTTGTTAATCTTTCTCAAGAGGCACGCAGGCTCCTATAAAAAAGCTTCTGAAGTAAGTAACTCATTACGGGCTGCATGAGGCTCCAGTCTGTCACCCCGACAGCTCCGCGGTGCCGGGATGCAGTGCTGCTGGCCGGGATGATGGACGAGCAGACGAGCTCTTGGCTTTGCTCTGAAAGAGGGAGAACTAATGGGCAAATAAATTACGAATCAATTATTAAACCTTAGCAATGTGCAGAGGCCTGTTCGGGCTGGGTATCAAATATACATTTCTAATTAACTCAACAATTCTTGTCTAAGGCGCACTGGATGCTGCCTGCTGCTAGAAATATGAATTTTGGTCACGTGTGCTGGATGGAGCCTTGCATTTGTTGCTTTCCATCTGAAGCAGAGCACTCCTCGTGCTCAGGCTGTGATGGGAGAGGTGCAGCTTCATGCTCAGTCCGGCCCTGGGTGAGCTGGGAGGACTGGGGGAGCTTTAATGCTGGAGTTGCCACAGTACCATTCTCCCCAAAAGAGCCAAACCTTGAAGTGTCTGTGCTCCATACCAAGGCAATATTTCTGTTGCTCACTAATCAATTATAACTCTTAGACAAGCTCCCATATGGTGCCTTTATAAATCACTCTCTCCAGCTATCAAGCCTGTCTTGTTTGCCTGACACGAGCTGTGAGGAGGGGGGGGGGGAAGAGGAGGCTTAGGCTAATGTTGACTCAAGTGCACAGAATGGGATTTATTTATAGAGTTTTGTAAAAGTGTTTTAAAAGTCAAAATCCGGGTCCTCGAGGAGCTCAACCAAAAGCTGAGCCCTCGTTCTGCTATCTCTGCCTCAGCATCTTCACCCAGAGCCCCTCTTGACGAATCCATCCCACAAACCCACAGCTGAGCTCAGGCTTTGATGGAGGAACCGGGCACAGAACCAGGACAAGGGGCTGGGGGGGGGGGGGGGGCAGAACCAGAGCAAGAGAGAGGAGCTCTTTGACCCCCATGGGAGCAGAAACCATGAAGTGTTTACAGCACATGGGGCTGCACGAGCTCTGAGCACAGAAAACAAGGGCACAGCAGAGCTGCGCGATCTTGTAGTGGGAAACACGACAGCTCCGGATGCTGAGTTTTATTTATCAGTGAGATCTCAGCTGTTGCTTAGCTCGGCTCGCTCTGTGACTCTCTTGCTCCCCCCAGTGCTACGCTCAGCTGAGGTCCCTGAGCATCACCTGCCTCCCTTTCTGTCCAAGAACGCTTCCCCAGCTGGGGACCTTTTTTTCCCCTTATCTTCTTTACATAAATACAAACCCTCTGCTCGAGAGCTCTGTTTTGCCAGGCACCTCCCCGTGCCCCACACACCGGGTTATCTCCCACCTAAGACTTCACAACAAGAGCTCCTTCATTCACCTGCACCAGCCCTGACCTACACTAATGCCTTCTGCTCTACTGAGAGGCCAAATGATTTTGTGCCTGCCCATTGCTGTACATTTTAACCCCTCCCCCCAAAGAACTTTGGTTCTCCTTCCTTTAATTCCAGAAGTATGTGTGTGTGCAGGGCTATTTCTACTCCTGATAGCGCTGAATAAAGCGCATTTTTTCAGTTTCCCATGGGAAAAGGTCAACCTGAAAGGAAAAATCCAGAGCTTGGTGCCACATGGGAGGGGAACCTCTGTGGTAACAGTGCGTTTACATGATTTGCATGAGCTGAAGAGGAATAACAGAGTGGAAGACAGCGTTGGAAAGCAGGGTGAGAGCTAGAGGCAGGTTTCTCAGGAAGCTGGCAGCACAGTGACAGCACAGCTCTCATCAATCTGCTTTGATTCCGGGTGTGAACAAGTTAGAGCTTGCACCTGTCTGAGAGCAGTCTGGGAAGGGATGGATGAAACCTGCAGCTTGTTAACAAGATGGTCAGCTGGTGGGTTTATAAGCCCCGTTCTCAGTTCTAAGTTAAGGAAGAGGGTTGGGTTCTTAAGAATTTTGCTGTTTGCTTCAGGATGAAGCTTTGCCTTACAAGCCATCTGCATGGGGTTGCTCAGGACAGGATTGCTCGGGGTGCCTTCAGCCCATGGGTGAGTCGGGGCGTTCGGGCTCCGCTTCCTCCCCCTCCGTGATTGGGACCATCCCGGGGCGGCGCTCCGACGGTGCCGTGCCTCCAGGCGCCCGCCAGGTGGCGCCGTAACACCGCGCATCCAGCGCCGCCGCGCCCTCTCATCGGCTGCGCTGCGCGTCGCTCCGGCGACGCTGATCCTGTGCCGCCCCCCCCTCTCCGCACCCATCGTTTTGGGGCCTAACAGAGCCTCTCCTTTCCCCTGCTCTGCCGTTCGTGCCCTCTGTCCTGGAGGATCGGCAGAGGCGGGGAGGCATCCACGTGTTCAAAATCACGCCCTGAGTGGGTCGGGTAAGATGGCAGCAGGGGAGTGGGTGTGAGACAGTCACCAAAGCCACATTAAATCTAATGCAGAGGGAGTTGTGCCAGGCTGAGTGCTTTGGCTCTGACCAGCAGGCATGTCCTCTCCTTATTTCCTTCTCTTTCTGTCCCTTTTTCTTTCCTTTCCTCGTGCTCTGGGCTGTTGTGGAGTTGCATGGTGTGTCAGACCCAAAGGTTGCTGTGTGCTGAATTCTCCCTTTGTGCCAGCATTTGTGCTGTCTGACTTGACTTTTATGCAATCGAGCAATCATTCAGCCTGTTACCTGTTTGGAGCAGGGGGATGCATGCGTTGCACTCGTCATTCCTGAAACAACTCAGGAATAAACCCAGAGGGTGCAGCTGCGCTTCCTCCCTCCCCTCCATCAAGGGCAGGGCATCTGGAACGGGTTTGGTTGAGCTGTGTTTGCACTCTCAACAGAGGCTGGAAAACACCCCCTGGTTATTAGGAGTCTGAGGCTCTGAAGACACTGAATGAGTCTTAATTCTGAGGTCTTTAAGTTGATTCAGAAATGAGCTTGACCCAGACTCTCAGCAATTCTTGGCTGGCTGTGTCTCTTCCTGTCCCTCCCATGCTACTCGTTCACAGGGCTCTCCAATCCCTGGGAAGTGCTTGATTTGTTTCGGGTAAACCGTATTTGAACCATTCCCTAAGGTCTGTGTCCTCTGGTCAAACGGTGTCTGTGTCTTCGTGGCATCCCTGGGGCTGCTTTCCCAGCCCTTCCATACCCCATGGGCAGCTCCTGGAGAGGAAGAAGCATTTCCAGCAGGGTGTGACTCCTTCTCCTCTCCCTTTGGGGGAAGGGAGCTCAGCAGAGAGCAGGCAGCATTTCAGGCACCTCCTCTTGAGGTTGCGTTACCCTCCTCCCATCCAACGCAGTGAATTACAGCCCTAATTGAAACCATGCCTAGGCTGCGCTTGCCTGAACTGTGGGGTGAGCACTTCTGCTTGGAGTGAGGCTGTTTATACAGGGACAGATGAGTTCTGCTCTGTCACCAGCAGGGCAGTCAGAAACTTACAGCTTCCAACACAAGCGAGGGTTGGAGGGGCTTAGATGCCACCAGCACCTAGGTGGGTCTCCAAATAAAGTAATGGGACTGCCTCCTGTGAAGCTATATGGATTCAGACAGCAAAAGATGGAGGGAGTTGATGTTCTGGTATGGAGGGACTGGGATGGATGGAGAGCATGGTCCAGCAGCAGGGCTGCTCCAAGTCGAGGAGCTCTTGCTGCCACGTGGCCTTTCCCACTGCAGCACCCTCTGTCTGCCTTGCTTTGCATCTTGCTTTTTTCTTTTTCTTTTTTTTTTCCCCAGGAAACATCTGGAAGCTGAGTGAGAAACGTTAAAAGGAGGGGAAGAGAGGAGAAGGCAAAAAGCTGAGGGGGAGGGGATCTTGGGAGCACCATATGATTTCACTTTCCTAAGACAACAGCAATTATACCTTTGAGGCTTTACCAGTCACTGTAGATTCAAACCACGTTGGATGATGTAAGTGGGAAAATATGAAGGCCTTACTGGCTGCTCACAAGAAAAAAAATAGAGAGAGAAAAGGATCAGTTTCTGGTATTTTATTTAGTGCTGTGAATCACAAGAAGGGCAGCAACCAGATGGGCTTTATCTTCCTTGCTTTCCTAGGCTTGGATGTGCCTTGCTGATCCCTTAGGAAGGGGGGAGTGCCTTCTGTGTCTGCAGGAGCCCAACACAAACATCCCTTGCTGTTATTTACCATGAGAATTGCTGTTTCCAGGCAGCTTCCAGTTCCCTGTGCCTGTCTGGTTCTGCCTCCTGGGCTGCTTTCAGGAGTTGGGGATGTGGGTCTAAGTGGAACCTTGGGCCCAGCGATGGGACAGAGCTGCTCTGAGCAGATCAGGATATTGCTGTCAGATTTAATGGGCTTTTCATTGGAGGCTGCTGGGCCTTCAGCTGGCAGAGGTTAAATTGCCATCAGATAGGCTTGGGAATAATGGAAAAAGTACTGCAGCTCCCATGGGAAGAAATTGGGTGAGCAAATAAAGGGGGAGGTCAGTGCCAAAAGAGGTGCACAGAGCCATTCTGGGGTGATGTGCTGGGAGAAATGAGCCCAGGAGATGATCCAGCAGTTTGGCTGGGGGAGAAACAGAATTATTTCCTAATCTTTTGGCTACTGAAGCTCAGGAAACTGATGCTCGGTTGAAATTTCTCAGCTCCCCCAACACTGAAGGCACAGAATGTTTCGGTTAATAAATGAGGTTGTGTGGAAGAAAGTATCCAATGTGAAAACGTGGGTTTTATCAGGAGAAATAGGAAAAAAAAATCCCAAAGGGAGTCCAGATGGAAACCCAGGGCTCTGTGTCTCCCTGTCCCTCCTGCACTCGCTTCTCCATGCCTGGCTCACATGCAGGGAGGTGTTGCTGAGCTTTGGTCCTCCTGGGGTTCTCCTGGCATTGCTCTGTTGTCTTGTCACATTTTTCTTTCTTTCTTTGCTGTTTGAAACACAGCGATCCTGGCAGGAGTTGGGCTGTGCAGAGGGAATTGGTGATAAATCCAGGAGCTCATAAAACTCAAGGATGGGAGGGAGCCTCAAGGGCCACCGCTCCTCCTTGGATCCATCCCCAGACCTCCTGCCTGCCTGAACTTCAGGCAAGGTTTTCCTGCCTTCCCATGGGGTTGGTGAAGCCTGAGGGATGTTATGGGATGGCAGCACCCTGCCTATCCAGCACAGAGTGGCCCAGAGTGAGGTCAAAATTGGCAGGAAGATGGAAGTATGGAGTAAAATGACCTGCTCAAGGTCAGGGAGAGTGACCAGGCTGAGTTCCTTCAGTGCCTGAGATGTGCTGAAAGCAATCTCTGGGCAGGTGGAATAGTGTCATCGTTTGTCCTGGCTGAACTTTTAACCAGAATGATAATCACAGTCACAAATACTGTTAGCTTTTTCAGTTATTAAACTACAATAAGGTAAAAATAACTTTGGGCCTGGACACAGCATCTCCAGGGCCTTTCTTCTCAAGGAGAGAGAGAAGCAGCAAAGGATGTCTGCAAAAAGCAGTGACTTTTCCATGGCTTTGGTATCCCTGGTTTTACTTTTGCTTTTCCTGAGGCCAAGCAGCATTGCAAGCTCAGTCACTGAGCTCGTGAGTTCTGCAGAGCCTTTGCAAAGCATCGTCTTCCTTCTCAAGTGCAATTGTTTGAAACGAGGCATGAACTGTTGCAGAGCCCAGCTCTCCTCTGGCACTGCTTTTGGGCTGTGTTGAAGCAGATGCTGCACACCAAGGCAGCCCAGACCCAACCAGCCCACTTGGATGTGCTTTCCCCATGCCTTGCAGTGTGCTGTAACTACAGGAGACAGCCAGCCCCCCATTAAAGCTCACTCAAGCCAATGCAAATCTCTCACTGTCTCCAGCAGGCTTATTCTTAAGGAATGGTATTTCTGCTGCTTTTGGAGGTTATTAGTGCCAAAACCAATTTCCTTACATGCTGGAAACAACAAAACAAATGTTCCTGGAAAGCAAATCCATCAGGATTGCAAACATGGGCGCAGTGACAACTGTACTGGGTTTAAGCAAAGGCATACAGTGGGGCACTGTGGGTGCAGAGGAGGAACGGGGTCTGCAAATGTTGGGTGTCACCTTCTGCTTGCAGCTTCCATTGAGCTGAGCGCCAGCAGTCTGTGCTCAGTGCCCACGTGCACGTGTTTCATCTCAGCCAGTGTACAGTGTACACCTCAGCCCTTCTGAGTACGTGTGTTTCTATCAGCCTGACCTTTTCAAGCTGTCTGTGGGCTGACGGCTGCAAGCCTTGCAGGATTTTCAGCTGTGGCAGTAAATAGCTTCTCCTGATATGTTTAGAGAGAGTCAGCTTTGGCCTTTTGGTGATATGCCATAAACAGCCAGCATGCCTCGCTCACGGCATCCTGAATGGCTTTGCTGGCTTCTTGTGAATCCTTGGGGGCAGACAGGAGTGAAAATGTGCACCTGAGTGCTGACAGCCCCCTCTGTGCATGGGATCCTCCTGTCCCAGTGGCCCCAAAGAGGTATTAAAGCACACAGGTCACACCAGTTTGAGTGTTAAGTGCAACACGTCAGACCTGGGTGACAGCAGTCAGGTAATGTTTTCCTGCTGATCAGGTTGTGGTTGAATACAGGAGTATAGGAAGTAACAACAGGCAGAGTTGTTGAAGAGTCTGTGTCTGTCTGTAATGTGGTTTGTGGGGCAGCAGCTCTGCCTGGTGCAGTGTGGGATGCAGCCAGGTAATGCGAGGGCCATGCCAGGAGCTGGGAGAATAAACTGCCCAGTTCTGCATTCGGGACTTTCAACCACCTACCTGCATTCTGCCAGGCAGGAGGTTGCCCCAAGAATCTGGTGACAAACTGTCCCTGGTGTACCTGCAAACGTTGGGCACCTCTGCAAAAATAACCGCCCCCCAGTACCCACCTCATCCTTCCTAATGGCCAAAGGGTGAGAATATCATTCCTTCACTTCTATTCTTTGCACAGACTACTGCCCTGTGCTATTGCAGCTCATGTTACAGCTCCAGCCTCCCGGTGTGAAGCCAAGACTTCTACTAAATCATGAGTGGATATTAGGCAGGTGGGGTGAAAGCCAGGGCACCTCACAGCGTGCTCTTGCTGGTGCCACTGCTGCTCTGCTCCTTCCTCCTGCACCCTCTGCAGCTCTTCCTCCTCCCTGGGGCTGCAGATCCCACGGAGCACCCATGGGTGCTGCCAGTGCCCCTCAACTTAGGACATCTAGCCCTCAAAAAGTGCAAAAAGCCCTGAATTCCTGTATTTTTGTCACCCAGTGAAAAGGACTTCAGGGCTCAGATTAAGTGGCTCCCCATCCCAAAGCGCATCCTGCACGGCTGAGGCAGAATCAGAAGTATTTCAGTCTCTATTGAAACCTCTGACTTCCACCACCCCTTTGGTGGCTGGGAATGGCGCCCAGACATGAAATAATGAACTAAAACCCCCCTCCATGCATTGACCAAATAAAACAAG